AGCCAGCGACCTGACCTCCACCACCCTTGGTTTTTCCATCCGTCACACAAGGCGAAGACCTGTGCTCTCTCGGCCTTGAGGGGGCGGGGAGGCAGTGGCCCCCGCTCAGCGCTCAGACAGAAACACGGGTGGGGGATGCGTGACTTCACGTGGGCTGTGCGTGAAAGGCACAGGGCAGGGCTTTCTCCAAGAAGAGCTGGTGTGTATGTCTGCAGGGAGGAGGCGGGTTCAGTCTCGATGTGACTTGTTCTGAACTCTGAACTTAAAACATTTTTAATGGCGGCAGAATACACAGAACACAAAAGCTGCCATCTTCACTGCTTCTCAGTGGTATCAGCCTCATCCACACGGCTGAGCAGCCATCGCCACCAGGTCTCTGAACCCCCAACCTCCCAAACGGAAGCTGCGCCCTCAGTCAACCCCCCCAGGCCCCCGCCTGCCCCCAGCCCCTGGCGCCCACCGTTCTGCTTTCTGTCTGTGCGGATTTGCCTGTTCCACGCGTCTCACAGTTCACATGGTATTTCCCTTCCGTGACTGGCTCACTTCACTCAGCAAAACGCCTGCAGGATTCCTCTAGGTTGCATCCACGTGCCAGAATCTGCCTCCTCTTTCGGGCTGAAGGATATGCCACTGAGTGGACAGGTCGCATTTCTCCGTCCACCCGTCAATGGACACTTGGGCTGCTTGTGTCCTTCAGCTGATGTGAATAATGCAGCGATGGCATGAGGATGTAGTCGGAACTCTGCATTTTATATTCTGGGGTCACTTACAGGATCCTGTCTTTGACCTTGGCTCTCTCAGGCCTGTGGTTCGGGTCACCTCGGGGTCCCAGAAGCCTGGCACCACGTGGGCTCCGGCACAGCCCGTGCCTTTGTCTGTGTGAGCGAGGCATTAAACAACTCAGGGTGTTATGGTTTTGGAGTCAGGCCACTTTTTTGTTTTGTTTTGTTTTTACTGGAGGATCGTCTGTTTTATCTCCCCTTGACTTTTCAAAAATGCTGGAACCGTTTTTTGATTGAACAAGATTTTTTTTTCTTTGACATTTATACGACTGAAGGTGGAAAAAGAAGGCCTTTGCTTGTTAACAAGATGAATCAATCTCTTTCCCCAGGGGAAACTGAAAACAGTTTAGAAGGCAGAGTAAACTTTATATTTTCCTGTGATGTGAATTCCGCTGACCTCTCCTCGAGGTAAGATTTAGGGGAGCCCCGTCAGGCCCCACAGACAGTGACGGAGCGGCTGCCCGCAGGTCTCCAAACTCCACCTCCAGCGAGAGCCGAGTGGAGCCCAGACGGCTTCTGCGTGTCAGCGAAGGTCGTGCAGGGAGCCCGTGCTCGCTCAACCCAGAGCCCCTCATCCTGCTGCACCGGACGGGACGGCTGATCGGAACGGCAGTCCCCAAAGGCCGTGGGGTTTATTGTTTGGTGTCTTCCTTCCTTTGTCCTTCGTCTGTGCCATGTGGGTTTGGGGGAATTCCCTATGAGAACGGGCGTGTGGTTAACACCTGCTTTGTCGCACTGGGTTGCATGTTCCCCCTTTGCAGCTGGTGGCTGCTGGAGTTTCCAAACTGTGTGACCTGGAGCCACAGCCCGTGGCTTGGTGCTCTGGCAGGTCATGGGGAGGTGGTCTTCCTGGGTCTGCCTGGAGTGGGAAGCAGAGAAGAGACAAAGAGACTGTGTTGGAAACAGGAGTGTGGAGCTGAGAAGAGACTTAGAAAAGTGCCCCCGAGTTGGCGCCTGCGCTCTCTGAGAATGCCAGGAATGCTGGGCCCCGGGAGTGGGCGGGGGGCAGGCAGGGGAAAGAAGGGAAAAGAACAGCACGTCACCAGCGCAAGGGTGCACTCCTCGCCAGTCTAGTTGTCAAAACAAAGCAAAAGGATAATGCCCTTACCCCCAAACAAAAGTGCATGAGGAAGCAAAAACAATTGTTACTGACGTTTGCATTTATACTAGTACAAGTTGAGCAAAGATCTTCAAAAGCAAATCTCTCAGTCATTTTAGTTTCCCCTTTTGGGGCGAGGGAGCAGCTGGGGCCTTAAGAGAAAGGATTTGCTGAGCACCCACGGGGAGTGAGGGAGCCAGATAGGATCTCCGGTTGTCACAGCACTGCTTGGGGTCGGTGACATGCTTCCCAGTTTGAGTGGAAGTTCATGACAAAGGACAAAAGGTCAAAGGGTACACCATGGGGGAGCAAAACAAAACAAAAACAGGAAGTGGCCAACCCCGGGATTTTCCATGGGAAGGCTGGGAAACATATCCAGATATAGGAGGACAAGGAAGAAAAAAGGGGACCGCTGAATCTTCTGGAAGCCACTTGAGATGCTGGGGAGTGGGGTCCCAGCAGGATCCTGTCGGGGGGGAGGTGTGGAGGACCAGGCTCCCCGGGTGGGACCCCTGGGTCCCGGACTCAGCACCGGCCCGTCCTTGGCATGCCAGCAGATACCCCACTGCCTCCCTCTCTCAGAAGGAGAGTTTGTCACCTCTGTGTCCCTTAGAGAAGTGTGTTCACATGTGTCCTAATGCCGAAGTGTGCAAAGAGGTCTGAAGAATCCAAAAAACTCATCTAACCTCTCAGGATCTCATGTATATGGACACGGGGTGCTTAGAACAAATGGGAAAACACATGTCCTACCTACCTCTTGCTTTTAGGACATTTTACCACCAGAATTTGGAGGGGCGAGGCCAGGGATGGGCCTGGGTGCGGCTAAGGGAGGCTGCCCCGTGGTGTGTTCCTCCCCTTCCCCCGCTTGTAATCAGGGTGGGGGCGGTCTGCTCTAGGGCCTGGCTGCCTCTCTCTGCCTCTGCCTTCTCAGGGGCAATGAGTGACAGTCTCATTCTGGCTGGGGGTCCAGCAGAGGAAAGAGTCCTCATTGCTGTTTATACATCTCAGCTTTACAAACAGAGGCTGGTGTCCCGCTCTGTGCCGTGGCCCACTCTCCCCTCAGGGTCCCGCTCAGGCATGCAGGGGGCTCTTGCGAGCTTTCTGACTTCCGTCCAAGGGGCTGTTTGCCAACCGCAGGAGGGAATAAAAAATCTCCCGTTTCTTCCTGGCCCTGTTCTGTTTTGAGATCTTGTTTTAGTACCTACTTCATCAAGGAAGTCAGAATTTTACGTGAAAAGAGAAGAATGTGTCAGCGTGTTTCTAACACAGTGTATGCAAATGAGCCAGCAAAGTATTTTGCAGGCAGCTGCCAGAGGTCAAAGGTCACTCTCCATGGTCAACAATTATTTTGCTTAAATAGGCAAGAAGGACTGCAGGAAATGAGTTGCAGCAACCTTAACTCATGTGTGAAAGTTTCCAATTAAGAATCCAAAGAACTTGTTGTTTAGTGAAAAAGAGAAACGAATTCCTTTTTTCCTGTTTCTTCACTTCCTTGGTGGTTCCTGGCTAAGAACCGGACCCGCTGGCACAAATACCCCTGTCAGCCAGCTCCCCCGAGAGGGGGTGGTGGTGTGGGAAACAGTTATGTAACCAGAAACAGAATCTGTTGGATGGGAAAGGTAGTTGATCACATCTTCTAGTTTGGGGGCTGACTAACTACTGCCTGGACCAAGTCTGGCCCCCAGCTTGTTTTTATAAATAAAGTTTTATTGGCACACAGTGCACCCATTTGTTTGCGTACTATCTATGGCTGCTTTCCCCAGTATAAAGGCAGAGTTGAGACCATATAGTTTGAAAAGCCTAAATATTTCCACCCTGGCTGGTGTGGCTCAGTGGATTGAGTGTCAGCCTGCAAATCAAAGAGTTGCTGGTTCGATTCCCAGTCAGGGCATATGCCTGGGTTGTGGGCCAGGTCCCCAGTGGGGAGACCATGCCCACAACCTTCTCTTCCCCTTTCTCTGAAAATAAGCAAATAAAATCTTTTTTAAAAAGCCTAAATATTTCTTCATGATCCATGCAAATACTCTTCTCTGGCTGGGGATATAGATTCCCAAGATTATTTTCGATGGCTGCATAGTATTTTACTAAAGGTACTATAATTGCTGCTCAATCACATCTGACTATTTCAGTTTCTTGTTTGTATTTATTCACCACACTGCGATGGTCTTTGTACTTTGTGTCTTTTCCTGGTTGAACTGTCAAGGATAAATTCCCAACCTTGAAATTAAGGAGTCAGATGTTACTCAATAACGGTAATGCAGAGGGTCCCGCTGCCTCCGGGAAATGTGTAACACCCTCTGTCCCAGCAGGGAGGGACCAGCCGTGTCCCACTCTCTGGCCGGCATCGGCCGCTGCCGCCGTCGATATTTAAAGCTCTGGTCAATCTGATGGGTTGAAACGGATGTGATAAACTGTGTGGATTTGCATTTCCTCGATCATTTTCTTTCGGACAGCGCTGTCTGTGATTACGCGGGGGCAGAAACGATGGCGTCACACGAGGCTCTCCTTGTTCCACGAGGGGCCGGGCGCAGGCGAGACCGAAGCTCCTTCACTGGTTTTTCATTCCCAGACTCACTGGCCACTGCGCTGGGGCACTTGATGAATGATGACCGGGAGGCCACCTGGTCCCGGTCATACAGGGGATGACATTTATATCATGACTGCAAAGCTACGTGCAGGCAGAGAGCCTAGTCCCCTGACCCGGTGGCGGCCCCGCTCTGGGCTGCAGACACCGGACCTCAGCGTCCTCGGTCCTGGAAGGACCTGCCATTTCTCTCCCTCTGAGGACTGGAGGACGACGTGTCGTCTCTCCACTGTAGCCAGTGTAACAAGGAAGCCACTAGAGGAGTTGGAGATGCCGGATGCTGCCAGTGACCTAGTGCGAGAGGGGGTCGGAGAGTAGGTGTGGGAAAGCCGAGTGCCGGGCCGGCAGCTCTGTCCGGCAGCCCGGGCTGTGACCCGTGCCGCGATGACCAGTGGGGCAGGCGGGCTGCAGCGGCGAGCTGCTCCTCTTTGGTCTGGTGTGCAGTGGTTTCCGGCCTCGCCAAGTGGCCGTTGCTCCGTGGTGATGATTCATGGCGTTTGGAAAGGGCGTCTGCCTTCTGAACAGGGAAGTGAGAAACAACACGGCCAAGGGCAGTGCCGGCAGGTCGGGGGCTGTCACAAGATGGGAAGTCTCACTGTGGAAAACGCGGGGGGCTGGGAGGCCACAGTGAAGGTGGTGCTGAGCGTGGCCCTGCCCGCTCTCCTCCAGGGCATCAGCTTTTCCGAGTGGCAGGCAGTGAGTCGCCCCTCGGAAGTGGCTGAGCCGCTGCAGGCGGAGGAAGTAGACGGGTGATTCAGTGAGTGTCGGCTTCCTCTCTGACTCGGGGTTGAATCCGCTTCATAGGGTGGTGCCAGGGGCCCATGTGGCTTTAGCTAGCTTCTTTGAACTTGGAGTCAAAACGGAGGCTCTGACCCCTGTGGTTGCTGGCCCTCCTTTGACCCTTTCAGGTGAGCGAGGGGATTAAGGTGGATTCTGCGGCCTCTCTGCATGTTGGGTGGACCCTCTGACTTAGGCCTGCCCGTGTTCCAGCTGCAGGGATCCAGGACTCAGGCCTGAGGCTCCTCCTGGGTCTGCACCCACCTCAGGGGCTCCCTCCTATTTGGGAGTCATATTTAGGGGAGTCCTGAGGGGCTCAGCCTGGGCAGATATGAGAGGACGGAGTGGACAGCTGAGCTGGCTCTTCTGGAGTCCATTCGTCCACTTAGCCAAGAATATGATGGGAGGGGCAGCTGCCACCTTCCCGGCAGGAGTCCTGCCTGGCTTCTTAGTCCAGAGCGTGGGGTTTTCCAAGGGGCTGTTGCCAGTGTGCCATCAAATGGCTGTCACCTGAAACCTGTTCTAAGAAACACTTCACTTATGCAGATACTTGCCTCTGCCCCTGAGAACATGGTCAGGAAAGGGCTGACTTGGTGAAGACCGACGTCTCAAAACTGCGACAGGGCCTCTGTGTTCCGTGCCCCAGTAACCTGGCACGCTGGTCTTCTTCCAGGTCAGTTCTGTCTCGCCTCCTTCCTGCCCCTTGCCCCTCCTGTTTCCATGGCCGGCGCAGAGGTCGGCTGGTCCGGCTCAGGCAGGGCGGCTGCTGTCTAATCATCAGGGTTTTAATGAGACTCTATTATTAACCACATGCCAGAGAAATGAAGCTCCAACCAGTTGGGGCTTCCAGAAAGGCTCCGTGTGACAACTGTGAGGGGGAAGGGGCTGTGAGGACACCTGCCGCAGGGGCCCGGCCCTGCTCGGTGCTCTCTCGTCTCAGATCATCTTCCGCCAGCTTCCGACTTTAGCGTGCGGGGTACGCCTCCTCCACACGGCAGGGAGTGCTCATCACTTCTCACTGCTGCCTCGCCAGAGGGACCGAGAGTGAGAGCAAGTCCAGGGTGAAGCTGTGATGGCCCTCCTCGGGGTCAGCTGACTGTCACTGGCTCAATCACTGTGCCTGGGGGAGGGTCTCTGAGCGGATGGCAGCTCACATCTGGACCTTAGTGCAGGAGGGCGGATTTTCCAGAAGAGGGGACTCCCGTTCTAGGCAGGCAGACATCAGGCCACCAGCCCTCCACTGCCTCCCCTGGGCTGGTGGCGAGGGACACACGCGGGGGATGTGCCTCCTCTGTCCCAAAGCCCAGTGCTGGAGAATCCTTGAAAGATGGGTTTTTTCTCTGCTACGTCTTTGCGGCGGGTCTCATCTGAGGCCTCAGCTGTGCGGCTTTCTGAGCAGCCCGCCTTGGAGGATCTAAGCAACAAGGGAAGGAAGAACAAAGGAGCCATTCTCAGAAGTGCAGCAGCAAAAATGAAACCGAATGAAAACCCCATAAAAATCCCTCCGAGGGCAGAGGAAATACCAGCTCGCTGCTCTAGCCCCATGCTTGTTTGCAAAGCAGAGATTCAAGGGCAGGCTGTCCCGAGGCCGCTGTGTTTGCACCGAGGGAGGTGTGCTGGCTGCCAGCTTGAGGGAGGTCCGTACGTGTAGGTACTTGTGTGTTTGCTGTTCAAGCCAGAGCTGACCAGGGTTCACGGGGAGCCTGGAAGACAGGACATGACCCGGGTCAAGGTTTGCACGCACGGCGGGGTCAGATGACAGTCAGCTGGCCTGCCCCTGCCAGCTCTGAGGGACGGTGGGAGGAACTCTGGCCTCCGTGTAGTCACAAAAATACCCGTTTGGAAATGTCTTTGAAGACTGACTAAGTAAACGCTCAGATAATAATAACAACCAAGTCACAGCTGAGGCGTTCGCAGGAAGTGGAAGAATGTGCTGATGCTGCAGCGGGCGGGCCTGCTGTCTTTCTGCTCCTCTCGCTCCGCTTCCTTGCTATGGCCGCGGTCTCGGGCTCAGGCAGTGTTTTAAGGGGATGGAGAGGAGGATGTGGACACTTTCACTCTCATTTCATGGGTTTGACAAGATCTCAGGGACAGAGCGTCGTCCCGTCACCACACAGCAGCTGGCGGTGGCCTGTGGCAGGTGGCCTCGCCCAGTGAACTTTAGGTGCTGCTTGTGGGGGCTTTCCACCTGGTTTGTGGCCTTGGGCTGCTGTGACCCACAGCGGGATGTGTCCCCTGCGCCCGGGGGTGCACAGCAGGGTGAGCATAGAAGAGAGTCTACATTCCCTCTGGTGGTGTCCCACCTTTGTGCATGGGGCTCCTGCTCTCAGTTCTGGCTGACTGGACAAGAGCTGGCCAGGCTTCCCTGCGGCACCTGGAGTAGCGGTCTTTCGCCGTTGAACTTCCCCAATTACCTCTGACATGCCATCTCGTAGGTGGCAGTGGACAGGAGCGGCCAGCTCCCGGCTCACCTACACTTCTGGACTCAGTGTGGTTCCTTGTTCAGCCCCCTGGGCTCCGGGACCAGTTCCGATGTCTGTCCATCAATTCATTCATGGTTGATCCTTCCGTCCACCCGTTCCCTGGGGCTGCCACTGAGTCATTCAGTCGCAGCCGGATCCTCTTCTCCTGTCTGAGCTCTACTGTCTGGCACAGAGCTGAGCCCAGAGCACGGGCTCTGGGAGCTTTGCTGGCTCCTCTTCCTCCTCCCCCTCTGTTATGCTTGAAGTCCTGACCCCCAGGGCCTCAGCACGGACTATATTCAAACACGGGGACTTTGAAGAGGTAGCTAGGTTAAAACGAGGTAATTTTAAGTTAAAATGAAGTCCTCAGCTCGTCTGCCTGAGTCCTTATCTTACGAAGACACAGGCATACGGAGTGGGGGTGAAGGGAGACCTGCAGGCAGAAGGCAGCACGGACCAGCTAAGAGCGGAGGCCTCAGAAGGAACCGACCGTGCGACACCGTGGTCGTGGACCTCCAGCCCCGGAGCTGTGACGAAATACATCTCTGTTGTTTAAGCGACTCAGTCGGAGGCACTGTGTCCTGGCAGCCTCAGCAGCCTAAGGCAACATCGCCACCCCTCCGCCGAGCGTGTGCCCGCCCGTAGTGTTCCGGGGGCTCTGCAGGCTGTCCCTGAGAAGACGGAAAGGGGAACAGCGATGGGCCCACCCTCTCACCACACTTCTCTCAAGCCCCTCACGCTCAGCGTCTCCTTACCTCTACCCCCGGAGGAAGGCAGGAACTCGGGGAAATGAAACAGAGGGCGCCCAGCAGCCGCTGGCCTACAGAAACTCTACGTTCCGATGCAGCCTTTCGGAGAGATTCAGAAGCCCCATTCTCCCCGCTGGCTGCTTCTCCGCCCCACAGATTCTTACTCCGCGCCTGTGTGTGCACACACGTGGCCCGCGTGTGTGCGTCTGAGGACGGCCGGGGTCCGCAGCTGGGGGCACGTTCACCACGCGTCTCCAGCCCCGGCACCTGGTGCACAGTGGCTGGAAGGGGCCAGGGTGACACCGGTCGCTGGGCCATGAAGTACATCCCTTACTGCTCTTTGTGACTAAAGGTGATGCCAACATCGGGTTTTCACGCAGCTGCTGCAGGAGGGCCGGCCTTTGATCTGTGGGCCCGGCACGGCCTGTGGGGCCGGGCTCCCTTGTTCTGCGGGAACCACAAGCTCATTTCATCACGGAATAATCTGGAAACGTCTGGGAACATCTCTGAGCCTTCAGACCTCTCGGGCCTCGTAAGAAGCCGGACCCATTTTCAAGTGCCCAGTATGCAAGTTTTTAAAAAATCATTTATTTATTCATTTTCACAGAGAGAGGGGAAGAGAGGGAGAAAGAGAAAAAGAGAAACTTCAATGAGCAAGAGAAATAGTGACTGGTTGCCTCTCATGTGCCCCCAACTGAGGACCTGGCCTGCAGCCCAGGCATGTGCCCTGACCAGGAATCCAACCAGTGACCTTTTGGTTCACAGGCCAGCACTCAATCCACTGAGCCACACCAGCAAGGGCCCAGTATGTACGTTTTGATATTTCTCATTCTTCTACCATTTCTGATCAAAGACATTTTCCAGCACACTACTGAGCAGCAGTACTGTCCCCGATGAGCTACTTTCCACAAGCCAAGCCTAGCTCATTGATTTCAGAGGGAACTGGGAGTCCAGAGCTCGGTGTTGACCAGCTGGCCCGGTGGCATAGTACAGGATCCCCCATGGACTTTGGCAAAGACTTGGCCATCCACGTGGTCGCAACCCACTTCTGTGTGCATGCTGGGGAGGGAAGTTTGCACACGGTCACTTGTACTGATAGTGGCATTTTCTGAAGTGTGGTGGCATTTCTTCACTTGATGTTGATGTGAAAACAAGCTTCCTTTCTTTTCTACAGACAAGTGACCACATTCCAGGGATGGACGGAGGGCTTGCACAGTGAGAGTGTCACAAAGCTGCCACATGAGGGGCCCCTCCTGCCCGCTTCCTCCTGCAGAGCCTCCCTCGGCCGGCCCTCGTCCCTGCCCTCTTCCTCTTTTCGCGCCGTGTGTTGCCACACAGGATCCCCCACTTGAGGAGACTGGAGGTGTGCCCTGCCCCGGGGGGTTGGCTGCCCTTTAAGTGAGTGACTGCTGAACAACTGGGGTTTCAAAGCCCAAAGAAACGGTCTTCTAGGGCTTGACTAGAGCTGAGGGCTTCCACCTGGGCAGACGGGTCTGCTTTGCTTGCTCAGAGGACCAGGCCAGTGGTCGGCCTGCTCCCAGTCCAGTGTCTCCAAGTCTTCCTTCCTTGGTGTGTGTCTGGTGTGAGGCAGGTGCCCTTTCCCTCTCCAGCCAAGGCCACTGTGTCGCTCAGCGTGGCTAGGATGTATGTCGCTGCCAGTGGAGCCTGGCTCGGGCTCCTGGTGCTATCTCTCTGCCGCTCCCGCCCCGCCCCAGAACTGTATTGATCAGCTAGCAGATAAGAAAAGGCAGCTCTGTGTGCTTCCAAACCCATCCCCTCTCCCCCCATACTTTGCTTTCATAAATATTGGTTACCATGCATGTGTTTTCCATGACCTGGTGACTTCCGGCTGCTCTAGCCAATGGAGTCGGAGCTGTGATACTCAGATAAAAGGCTTCATGGGCATGACTCATTCTTGGAGACACTGAACCTGCCTGGCTGTTGTTAAGTGCCTGGTTCTGTAAATATTGACAGTTAGAAACCATCCTAAGAGCTACCAGGCAATGATCTGGAAGGTAAGGGGCATGAATACGACCAGCGAGGAGGCAACGCTCCTCCTTTGCTAAGATGCAGCCACTGATGAATATCAGCCCATTATCTCTCCTCCCAACAGTGGCTCGACCGCTTGCACGGGACTCACGGTTGGTAGGTGACAGGGTCTGATTTGGCAAGAACAGTCTGGTCTGCTTCAACAGAGAACAAATGGCTTCCCAGGCCCCTCCAGGCTCCAGGTTCCCTGCTTCTTAACAAGCGTGGTTTTGCCAACGAGGAATTGCTCCAAAGCAGTTGCCATCGCTGACAAACTGAAGAAGGCACAGAGGACTGAGGGGCAGAACAGCGCCTCCCACCGTTCCGAGCCAACGTTGTCACCCCCGCCTGTCCCGTGGGCACGTTTATGTTACAGCTCACCTGTGGGCACACCTCCACCAGGGGCGGCCTCTGCAGTCAAGTCATTGCCCTTGGGCTGGCGGGCACCATTCTCCAAGGAGGGAGAAGGCGCATCTCTGCTGGTGCAGAAATGGGTTTTATCTCTCACTCTCCCTTTCCAACACTTAGAATAAGTGTATCATTACCCAAATGTACACGATGCCTTCCGACGGGTTGGCTGTTTGGTTTACTGAGTGTTATTTTGGGGCAGGAACTTCCCATCTGAGTCACAGTTTTTTTGAATGGCCCTAGTCTATTTCCTACATGGCTCTGTGCACAGGGTTCGTCTGGCCAAATCAGAACTTTTCAGCTGGCAGGTTTCGAACTCGAGTCTTTGGCAGACTGGTATGCTGGCCGACAGCGTTGCCCTTGGTCGAGGGGGCATGCGCATGTCTGTAGCCCTCGGCAAAATCTCTTGGCGTTTACTGTGTTGCCATGGTGAGATCTGAGCCCCACTGGCACCAACTCGCCAGGAGGCCGCGCAGCCTGAGCATGCAGGGGAGCAGCTGTGACCTCCACGGGAGCCCTCTCTGCCATGACCTGGCTGTGTGACTCCGGGCAAGTTACTTAAGTGCTCTGAGCCTCAGATTCCTTATTTGTCGAATGAGGATAACAGTTCCTATCTTGCAAGGCTAGTGTGAATCGGAATAAAGCATTTAACACACGTGAATCATAAGAACTGCTTAGTCCTTTGTAGCTGGTGTTGTCTTTAGTGCCAAGCCACTGTGAAAATGGATGCTGCTAACAGTTGGGGTTGGTGTGGATTCAAAGATGGAGGATCTTCGGTAAGTCTGAGGGTCTGTCTGTGTTGCATCGGCCCCCTCAGGAAGCTATTATCCTCATTTTTCAGAGGATGAGATGGAAGCTCAGGGGTCCAGCCAGGTGGGAGTGGAACCAGGTGTCTCTGGCCGTGGAGAACATGCGCTGGCCATTACCTGTGCCACCTTCCACGGCCACAGAGGTGTTTAGCAGAGACTGGCACCTTGCTGTGTCGGGAGGACATGGGGGCATCCGCTTTGTCTCTGCACCCATGACATGGGCACAGACTGGTCTGCATGCTGTTAGCCAAACAGCTCACAGAGCCCTTGCCCAAGCAGCTGGCAGAGGCTGCGTATTCTGCCCTTTTGTCCAGGTAGATCACACACCTGCCGGGGTGCAGAGTGGTGTTCTGGGACCTGTCGACAGTCTTGATTTTTAGTGGAATGTCAGTGGGTGGGTGATGGGAATCCAGTCTGCTGGGATGTGTGGGGTGGCTGAGGGCGGGGCCAGGGTGCCTGAGTGGGAAGGGAGCTCAGGTGGACCGCCACCCTGCTGGTGCCCGGCAGGACACGGGCTGTGTTCAAGCAAGAGCTCCTCCCCCAGGGTCCTGCTCAGCAGAGCCTGCCCACCTCTCTCTGGGGAGACTTTCACACGAGCCGACAGGATTTGCACACGTGCCCACGTGGGACACATTACTAATGCACATCTGTGGTGTCAGGGCTGTGTGGAGGTTTGAAATAAAGGAGATGAATTCAGCAGAGCAACATGCAGACCTTGAAGGACAGAGAGGTCCCTTGAGGTGGCCACAGTGAGTAAGGTGTGTCTACTGGAGAGGAAACATGAGGTGCAGGATGGGATCTCTGTCGTGCAGGGGGATCCTGCAAGCACAGACACTTCGATCAGGTGAAACCCTTGCTCCTTGTTCCTCTCTCAAAAGTGAGAGACGTCCACAGCAAACCCCCCCGCCCAGGGAACAGGCCCCTGGGTGTCACTTCTGCTTATCCAAGTCCCTTAATGTCTTAGAAGTTTGGACCATGCTCCCAGACGGTGCAGAGAAGGCCCACCAAGGCTAGTCCGGGTGGTCCCCGTGGAGCAGACACGAGGCTCACGGGGCTTCCTCTGAGGTCTGGTGCTTCTGAGGGAGGAGGAGCAGCAGAGCAGTGGGAGGTGACTGGTCACGTTGCCTGGACAGCAGCGTTCCGTCCTGCCCTAGGGTTCTCTGCCGGTAAGTCAGCAGGAGAGCAAGGGTCCCCTCTCAGAGGGGACGTGGACACAGGCCTGGGTTGTGCCCACTGCAGACCTGCCCCGAGTCCCCCAAAATCCTCGGGGTCCAGGGCTCTCTTCTTTGCTGCTCCAAAGAGTCGACATACCTTCCAGCTAGTGCCCGACTCCTGAGGCAGCCACGAGAACCACACACAAGGATGCTGTGCAGATACTGTCAGTATCTGGTATGAGGGACGTGATTAACTCATGTCATTCAATGTGGTTATTGTCACTGAGTCCTATGTCAGACTCCTGGTTTGCGTTTACAGTTCAGAAGTCTGTTCCCTTTCAAACCAGGTAGTTTTTATCCCAGACATGCTCCCACCCCATCCTCATCTCCCAGAAAGTCAGGGCTCATTTTTTGCTTCCGTTGTGTTTAAACAAATTTGTTCCTTTCATTCATTCACTTGCTTGTTCAGCCGTCCTTCCGACATCTCTGCTGAGGGCCCGCTGTGTGTGCTCAGCCGGCCCCACGGCTGAAGCCCAGCTACCTGCTGACAACAGTCCACGCACAGCCCCCACCCGCCCGCCCATGCGCACTCAGGGTTCTCTTTCAGGCTCCAGGGCTCCTTTCTGAATAGATTTGTGTGAACTCACGCGGCGTTTGGCGCGTGTTTTTTTTTTTTTTCCATCGCCAATATGCTTTTCACGGGAACCTCATGCTGCGGGAGATCATTTGGAGGCTCCTATTTACCAAGTGCTCTCTGTCTCAAGGTCCTCTGCCGCCCTGCTGTCCCAACTAAGGGATGAGGGAGGAGCCACCACAAGCCTGGGCCTGGGCCTGCTCCCTCGCCCTGCTGCCTGGAAGCAAGCTTCCTGATAGGAGGTCTGGGGCAGATTTCTGCTTTTAAAGCGCTTCCCTGGACAAAGCAGGACAGGGTCAGGTTACTCTCAGCCCCAAGAGGTCTTGCTGAGGCTGCATGGCAATTAAGAGCCACAGGGGCATTGCCCTCTCCACCATCGCTCACCCCATGACCACTGCCAGCAGTCCTGCCAGGGGCTGTTTGCCTTGGCGCCAGTGAAAAACAAGCTGGAGGGGAAACACAAATATTGCAGGGTCAGGCTGGAAATGCTGACCTGGCCTTGGAACCCTGGTTCCAGGGCAGCGACTGTCAACCTTTCTCATCTACGGCACACGTAAACACACGGCCAATGTTCTGCAGCACACCAAAAATGTGTATCTGTTTTGCGGATCTGACAAACAAAACAAAACAAAACAAAACAAAACAAAACAAAACAAAACAAAACAAAACAACAGGTATAATTTTGGTTCATTCACACCAGACAGCTATGGTCGGGTTGGCTGTTGTCATTCTTTATTTGACAAACTAAGGTAAAAGAGGTCAGTGTGGCTGACTAACTAGTCAGGTATTGCATGTTTTGAAAATCCTTGGGGCACACCCGTTGAAAATCGCTGTTCCAGATCATTCTGCATTCACACGGGGGGCAGCTGGTGCCGCCTCTGCAGAGTGGAGGTGGAGGAGGCACAAGCGAGGGGACCAGGGGAGGGGAGGGGCCGGATGGAGTGCGGCGAGGCAGCTCCGGGAGTCTATTTCGGGCTGTGCCACCGCCGGACCAGGAGGAATGCGCCCTGGTGGCTCGGTTTGCTTTCCAGCTGCCCCTCCCCTCCTCCGGAGTCACATGTGTTTCTGGCTTGCCAGTTTAGACGGTGGCTGAGGGTCCCCCGAATTTTCCGAGTCTGCGAGCTATGTTGTAACACAGTGAGCCATTTCCCAGAGCTACCCCGTGTCCTCTGTCTCCTTGACAGAGGGGAAAGGAGGGAGGAACGAGGGGCGGGAGTGGGCGGAGAGGGAGCAGGAGGGGCCGGGCCGAGGAAGAGGGACATCTTGCTGACGTCAGGCCGGGCCCCCGCCACTGGGTAACAGCCATCCATCAGCCCATTTTGAAACCTGTAGCCTGCAGCCTGTTGTTTTGTTTTGAGCCGTACTCCCTGGACCAAAGAGCCATTAATTGTGGGGCCTTTGAAAGCTACCTGATTCCCTGAAACAGAGGGGATTTCCATGAGTCATAACTCAGCCCGCGGTGGCGCGGGGCGGGGCGTGGCGTGGCGCAACAGGAACCTTCCGCGGGGCTGGCCCGGGACGAGGGGCAGGACAGGCTGTCACGTGGCCAGCGGCGCCCGGGTCGGGCAGCTCAGTCCCGCCCCCTGCCGGGCAGACCCCGCGTCCCTGCACCCCCTTCTCTGCCCCGAGGCCGCTTCGCTGCACCCCGCGTTGGCTTCACGGGGTGACAGCAATTCTCTGGCGCGCAGTAACTTCTTTCTTGGGAATGTAGCATCCCAAAGATGGGGGCGGCCCTATCTCCTAAGCTTCTGCAAGACAGCCACCCTTTTGGTGCATTGGCCGCCTAAGGCTGCCCTTTCTGAAGCCGTGACCCCGCTTCCCAGAAGCACCCCCAGCTCTGTGGTCTAGACCCCAGGGCCTGTTTACAAGTAAGATCGGAGCTGGCTGGTGTGTGTAACTCGAGGCTAAAGAAATACCGATTTCACCACCCACGTGGTAGAGTTCAATCTGCTTTCTGGCCAAGGCCACACGAGTTAATTTTTATCCTAGTAAAAAATAATAAACACGGCGTTAGCAACTAAATGTTTATCAATTTGCAGTTCATTTGCAGCCAGATTGCTTCCCTTCTGCATGTTTTTACGGTTAGCCGATGCACTGGGGTGCTTTTCCTGAAACCATATGTGACTGTTTAAGGCCCGGCCTCAGGAGCATTTATATGGCGCTTTTCACCTTAAGTGGATAATACTACTTGGCTATTTTTTCAGCCATGATCCTCCAGTATTGTATTTTAATGGTAAAGGCACTGCAGTGAAGAAGGTTTAGCCACTTGTTGGGGATTCCCCGGTAGTTCAGAGACGGTGGTAAACAGAGTCCCTGAGTTTTTGTTTTGTTTTGTGTTTCCTGTGCAGCACTAACCTGTGTGTGCCGGCCACATGCCCAGCACAGCTGACTTTGGGGAGTTTCTCTTCCTCCTTTTGTGGGAGTGGATACCAGTGGACGTGGGCAACAGAGCTGTCAGACGGAGCAGCGAGTCTGAATGGGCAGCTGCTGCGCCTGCTGACAGGGGCCAGGGGGACACGTAAAGAAGGTGATAGAAGCCCCTGTCCACCCGGTCTTCCGGTGGAGGCTGTCACTCGTGTTAGTGGGACTTAAGAGGCTATCTGGTGGGGTCATCCATCCCTTATCACCAGCCCATTGAAGCCAGAGCAACGATTTGTTGAGGACAAAATGAAGCAAGGGGTCCCCCGGTGACTCACGCAGGCCCTGAACCTTCCCAGCCTCCCTGATCTCCTCCATCTGAGGCTGTGATAGAGACCTTGATGTTGCCACCTGTCCAGGGTGGAACTAAAGTGGCTGCTTGGGGAAAGGGAGGGGAAAAAGCCCATCGAGGCTGCGGCGTAGAGCAGAGCGTAAGTCAGGCCCCTCTTCCGTCTCTTTCCTCCAGAGATGAACTCACTTTCTTGAAGCCTCCATTTTCTCGCCCGTAACAGTGAGGGGGTGGCAGGCCGTCCTTCAGAAGGCTGGCATGCACAAAAGGGCCTGGCACCTCGTAGACATGCAAATGCTCTCATTAGGAAGAGCAGGCCTGGCAGGGGCTGGCAGGCAATGGGTCGAAGATGCCACAGTGCAACTGCAGGTCTGAAGCAACATCCCATTTCCCAATGAGCAGGTTACAAAAGTCTTGTGTGTCCCTTTCCTTGGCCGGCTTGACTATATACGCTTTTAATGATGCAAGTGAAATAGTTGTAAAATTAACCTATTGATTTAATCATGTGTATATTTAAAATTGCATGCAGAAGTATACGTATTTAGAAAGGTCGCCCTATGTTCCCTCGCTCGGGCGCTTTGTCACCACTCAAGCCCTTGTCCAGTGATGTCACTCAGCCTTCTGGAACACACCCTCTCGCTTCTGCCTGAGTGTCTCTGAGATTTCGTGCTTTGGGGGTTTGTAGGTCATGGTCACTGGAAATGCTATTTCAAGAGTGAAGTCCACGCACCATTTGTGATTTCCATAAAGCGGACTTCTTCTTGTACTGCCTTTGCAGGCGACGTTGGCGGGGTTGTGGCCGTGTAAGCAGGTGTCCTCGCGTCTCAACAATGCGCACTAAAGTAGAGAGGGCAGCGCCACAGGAGGCGGGGGTCTCCTCCCAGACAGCTCAGTGAAGAGCAAAAGAGCAAAGGCGCAGACCAATGACAAGGGAAGAAAAGGAGTAGAAGTCTGAATAATTACTGGATACTTACTGGGTGATGGGAATAAGGACCTTTTTCCTACTCTATGCTTTTCCTTAGTAATTTGAAAATTTTCATAAGAATTAAAAGAAAAATGAACTTTAGAAGACTTGCTTACAATACCTCATACTTGCCATTGGAGGTCATCTCTTCAAGAATAACTACAAGATTTTTAAAACTTTCTTTGATTTAAAAAAACTATCTTTTCAGGCAACTTCTGTAAACATCCTAGATAGCATTAATTGAATTCCTTTCAGGGTATTTTGTTATTCAAAATAGAGAAGCTGAGTGAGCTCTGTCTGTTATGAGGAACTTTTAACAGACGCAACTATGAGGGCACATGTTTGGCCACCCGTACTATTTTCCTTTATGTTTGGTTGGTCTGAGGGACCAGGGTGGTAATGACCCCACAAGGAGAACTTCCTGTAAGTGATGGGAAGACCTACTGCAGTGTCCTATGTCCAAAGTGCTTATTACCTAGTGCCCTCCTTGGCATCTCGGCTGCAAGGCCCAGGGTAGCAGGGAACATGAAGTTCTGGAAGCATGCCTGGTGGCACAAGCTTGGGGACCGTGTCAGTGGTGGCGTGCAACCGGAGAGGCAGTGTTTCTCACTGGGCAACGCTTCTCCCCTAGAGAGAGGGCCCAGAGCTGTGGTCGACCCGGCCAGCGTGAGGAAGTTGGGCAATTGTCCCGCAAGCCCCGTCTGTCCAAGTCAGGCAGCAGCGGCCGGGCCCGAGGTTCCTGACTCACCACAGTCCACAGAGGTCAGGAAGCTGCTCTCAATCCTGTTACTTTTGTAGCAATGGCTTTTCCAAAGGAAGACTGGAAAAGACATGATTTTAAAAACATTTCTGAAGAACAGGATACTTTCCACACAGCACGAGGACTTGCCAACGAGTGTTACAATTAAAACTCTCTACTTGGCCTGTGTGGAAGGCTGGAATTCTCTGGAGTTCTTTTATTTTATTGTGCTTTCCCCGAGGATTCACTGTGCTATGCTGCGGTAGGCCAGTCACAGTCTTTGCGAGGTCTGCTTCTGACACTTTTCGGTATTGTACCATTTGTACTCTCACATTTCACATGACAGGGGAGTATGAATATGTGGAGGGACCCCCCCGCAAACAAAAAAATCACAGCACAGTGATTTTCTAGTGTCCATCCCAATGTGCCAGAGCAGATTTATTGGAATGCAGAACAATAAGACAAGATAAACAGAATACCAGCGTGCTTCAATGGAGAGCAGGTTGTTTTTGGAAGATGTGAGTGTTTTTTTTGGGATGAGCTAAGTGTCGACTCTGACCCCAAAAGACCAAAAAGTGTGAGGTAAGATAAGTGTCTGCTAGATTCCCTTTGCCATGCGGATTCTGTGAAGTCAGCGTAGAGGTCACTGGCGGTGGCTGCAAGAATCAGGTCCACAGATTGTTCATCTGCGCTCTGATTGGGCAGTTTCTGGAAACAGAAGCTGCCCTAACTTCTGACGCCCTCTGTGAACTTCAGCTGTGCACTGTGGGGGCAGACGCTGCCAGCTAGGGAGCCCAGGGTCAGTTCTGCAGGCATGGCTCGAGCCGTGCCACGTTGGCCCTAGCCAGGGTGGAAGCTGAACCAGGACACGGCTGTCACATGTGGTCGCTCGGTTCGGCCTGTCTCTTGAGCTGCTGTCCTGGGCAGGGAGGAGGGAAGTTGGCGGATTTAGCTCATCAGTTCTGTAGTGCCCCCTTTAATTGGAATCCTATTCACTCAAGAGAAAAAACAAGCCCGCCTTGCATACCATGGAAGGTTTGCATCAGATAGTTTACGTCTTTCTCCCATGCCCCGTGCTTTTGTATAATGCGTTTATTTCCCAGCAGCCTCATTAGTGGTTTGGGGTGCCTTTGGCTGCATTTAACATTTTCCAATAGATTTGCCACACATCCTATGATGAATGTAATCGTTTCCTATAACTGTGATGATTTTGTACACTACATTGGCACGCTTGTGTGTGCGTGAAAAATAATCCCACCATAGGAAGCAACACCGGTCCGCCTGCATGTTGGTTTCCATGGAGGCTTCTTCCGAGTGGTTATCTGAGTCAGTGCCGTTTGGACGGGGTCTGGCACAGATACTCTAACTGTAAAGCTTAATGTGTAACTAGTATGTTTTCCTCCTGTGTCAGCAGTTGGCACCCGTCTCTGGTGAGTAAATGGATGTCTGCAGTGAGGGAGGGAGGGCAAGGCTCAAGTAAGCAGTTTTGCAACTCACGCCCATGGTTGCTGCAAGTGATAAGTTAATTTGAGTAACCTGTAAGACCTGTGGATTCGCTGGTTTCAAAAACAGGAAAGTCTCTTGTTTGAAAACCCTCTGCAGCAGCATGTGGGCTCAGGAGGGGGCTGGCTCGTGGTTTGGTGACTGTACTTCCTTACTGAGCTGACGGCTGTGACGCAAGGCCTCCTGGGAGAGCTGCTGGGCCACAGGCCCGGCAGTTACCCCCAAGGGGTCCGAAACCGCCGGGGCTTTCTGGACGGATGAGAAAGCTAAAAATTTCCCTTTTCATTTCCTCTCTTGTGTGACTTTGTCATTAAAAAAAAAAAAACAACTAGTGATCAAAAAGGGAATTTTGCCCATGTTCTTACAGAGTTTATCTCGACAGGGCAGCTTCCCTCCCATTGCCCCAAAATCCCACCCTGAAAACCCCAAGTTAAAAAAAAATCATCTATTTGTGCAGATTTTTCAGTGGGTCTGTGTTTGATTAATCAGCCTGGGGGCTTGTTTTGTTATAAAACAAGCAGCTCTTTAAAAATCGTATGTTTTTTGAAAACTGCTCTCCATGCCCTTGGCCTTCTGGGAACTTCGAGCCCCGGCAGATGTGACGTCCTTCTGGAAACCTGAGCCGGGAGCTCCAGGGCCCATACGTGCAGCAGCCACGCTGGGGCTGAGATGAGTGAAAGTGGACACCGTTCCGTGGCACAGGCACAGGGGCCACAGTGCAGCGAGGGCAGCCGCATGCGTGGGGGCGGGGCTGTGCCCGGCCTCGAAACCAGTCTGCGTTTGAACCGAACCTCAGGACCAGGCCTGTGCTCCTGCCAGCCCCGGGAAGATCGGGGTGGGGGGAGGTAGCCGAAGGGGGTGCCCCTGCTTGTCGGCCGCCCCCGCCTGAGCTCTACAGCAGGAGAGAGAGGGCGCGCGGGGACCCGCTTCCACACCCAGCCCCTCCCAGAGTGCCAGGGTCCCCCGGTCACTGTTGCACATGTTAAGTGCGTGTGAGGATGCATATCGGTGCATGCACGTCTGCATGTCAGCGTGTCATCCAGGTTGTTCTGCCCAGTCCGAGAGCTATTTTAATTGCTCAGTGAATTCTAAATGACATTGGAAGAAGGGTATTTTTAGTGCTGTGTTACCAGTCTGGCACGCTGATTCCCACCACACAAACCCACCTTGCCAGTTTCTGTCCTGGCCCTGGCATCGGCCTGGGGTCAGCGCATGTCAGACTTGACTGCCCTCTGCCCCTGTCTGTTTTCTTGGTGAGACTGATAAACCCTCCCCATCACGTCACTGAGGCCACAAGGAAATGAAATCCTGCCGCGTGTGGGAGTGTGCAGAGCACTGCCAGAATCTTAAGGTTACGGGGAGAGCAGCCACCGCTCTCTGGGTCGTGCATGTCCACTGTGTGTGCACACGTACCGTGTGTGCACGGGAACTGTGTGTGTGCCTCTCTGGTGTGTATGCACACATGCTGGTGTGCACATGGGAACAGTGTGTGTTGTGTGTGCCATGTGTGCATACGAGCACAGGACACGTGTGTAGGTGTGTATCATCCATGTGTCTGAGTGCATGTGTGCATGATGCATGAAATGTCACAGGTCAAGGGGGTGGGGACCAGGAGGGTGCTGCAGAGAGGGGGGTCAGTCCCTTGGGGACCAAGCCCTTTGCTCCTGGCTGGCTGCCCTCGCCTCTTCAGCCACGGGCCCCGAGGGTGCCGAAGCCCTGGGATGGGTCCAGTGCGTGTTCCTCGTCTCCTCACTGCCTGCCTCTCAGTTGGGTTCTTGTAAAGTATCTTTTTGTTCAGCCTCAGGGAAAAGGGGAGAGTTTGGGCTTGAGAAGATGGACCAGTGACTCGACATGACACTTCTGTTTTGCTGTGTGTGCAAAAGACCGAGAGGGGAAGAATAAAGGGAAGACGGAGTCAGGGCAGAAAGGTAGTGTGAATTTGTATTTATAAAGTAAACTTTTATCCTTCTACCCAGGACTCTGCCCCAGTTTCCTGTCTCTAACCTCGTGTGCAGGGCTGACCCACTTCTGCCGATTTCTGTTTGTTTCCTTGAAAATGCTGGCTGTGTGATTAGAGTTGACTCTCGCCAGCTTTGCTCTTATCCTCCCTGCCATCTGAGTCCAAAAGTGCAGCCCTGCCCATCTCAGTCCCAGTCGTTGTGGGTGAGGTCAGAGCCAGAAAACGGCAAAGAGGGTTTAATGGGCCATGTGACAAATAAGTGACCCCTTTTCCTGAAAGGAGGGAAGCAGGACAAGCAGCTACCACCCCCACCGTGCCATCACTTCCTGTCTGATGCCCCTCTCCAAAGCCGCAGGTGCCACTGCAGACTGCACCTCCAGCTCCCAGAATTCCTGGGGGCCCACCTGGGCTGACCCCCCGGGAAGTGCAGTGAGTGCACGGTCACTTATCTCTGCTACAACCTGAGTCAACAGTGGAACCAGGAAGTGGACGCAGGGTCCAGCATCGCATGGAAAGTGGGTATATTTACTTTTCCCTTAGAGCAAAGTTTGATTTACTCTTTAATAAGTCACCACTAAGGATAGAGTTCGGGAGAAATTTGACTTGGCACCCAAATCTAAGTCACATATTGATAACGTGGGCGAGGGAACAGGGAGTCTCTTGCGTTTTCCCAGCTTTATCATTAACCTCAAGTTGGGAAACATATTTGCTTTGAGAAGTGTCAGTTCCCGAGTTTTCAAGGAGGTGACAGTTCTCCATGGATGACGAACTGTGACATCCTCAGCTGCAAGGAGCGATGATGGGGCAGCCATGGTGCTGTCAAAAGCTGGAGGGGCTGTGTGACCTTGGCTCCAGAGCAGTTTAGCTCTTGGCCCTAGCACTGTGCCCCCTGGGGAATTCCTCACTTCTTTGGCCTCAGTTTCCTCATCTGGAAAATGGGGATAAAATGTATCTCCCTCTGAAGGTTTCGATATGAAGACTTATGTAGTTTCAGGATTATGTATTCCTTAAGTCATTTTCTTTTTATTTTTTATAGCATGGAGTATAACTTCCATTTTCTCTTTCTGGAAGTGTCTGCAGGAATTCACCTGTGCGAGGTAGAAGATATGATCCCATCCTCTGTGCCTTCCCACCCCTGGCTACGTGGTGGATGGAGCTACTCTCCAGGGACTTGAGCAGAAGGATGTTCTCGCCTCACTGCTGATAGGCTCCTGGGAGTGGGGCGGTGAAGGTTTCCTTTCCTTCATGCCGAGAGAACTTCCTCATTAAATACAGCCATCTGCAAAAAAGGGGGAAAAAAAAGAACAAGAAGAAAAGGGAGGCCCTGAGGACTTCTTCTGGGTCCACGGTGGTCTCTGGGGACGAAGACTTCTTTGCTCACCCCAAAGGCCCAAAACAACTTGGGCCTTTGCCCCACCTTTGGAGTTCTGACAGGCTCCGAATTGCTCCCACAGTGGAGATGGGAGCCAAGGCGCAGGTCACCTTTGGTGATAAGGAGAGGGATGGCCCCCCCCAGAGGTCAGGGTGCAAGGGTGTGGTGCCGTTCTGATCAATACCAGAGAGGAAATTCTCCTTCTACCGAGTGGCCACTTCTGCTCCTCCTTGGCTGTGCACTGGCGGGTAGATGGAAAGTGGATGGTGTGGCCTGAAGCCCCAAAAGAGCCTAAGACGCTTCTTTTCTCCCAAAGAATCTGCAGGAGCCAGGTGCTTAGGTATCCTCTGGGGTCAAAACAACGATGACAGAGAGGGAGACAGTGAGGGTCTGTGGCGCGGTGGCATGGGCCCCACTGGCTGTCCTCGACCCACTAGTTCAGGAGGCAGGGCCCAAGATAAGGCTGGGCTGGGCTGGGGGTCATCTGGTGGAAATAGCTCTAAAGCTTCCTGCTTACCAACAGGCTAGGTTCATTTCATCAGAACAACTGCCTGGTTGCACAGACGTGAGGTACACAGGATTGTGGCTATTTAACAGATGAGGAAACTGAGGCTTAGAAAGGGGCAGGACCCTCCCCCATACCACCCAGTTGGGGAGAGATGGGTCTGCCATCTCCATGGCCTCCCTGCTCTTAGGCTGAGGGGTCCCCGGAGAGGCAATCCTTTCTCTTCATTCTTGGAAGAATGCGTGGATGTCCCCTGGGGCTCATAGGGCCAGTGACCACCTTTGAGAGGCCTTGAAGGGCCAGGGCCAGGCAAACAGATCCCAGAAGCAGGGCCTGGTTCCAGAGGGGCTGGCTTTCCATGTTGGCAGGATTCCCAGGTGGCCGTGCAGCGGCCCCAGAGGCACAAGTTCTCCCAGGGTTCCTGGAACCCTCGCTCAGGGGCCGGCCTGCCAGGGTCCTGCCTGCAGAGGCCTCCTTGCCCAGAGGGGTTTGCTCATCTCTCTCCACTTGCTTCTCAGCCTCAGGGGAAGCCTCAGGAAATGGAGGGAACGGCTTAAATGGACTCCACCTGACAGCACAGAAGCTGGGGGAAGGAGCCTCTTGTTCTGACTGATCGCGGCCCACCTCCGAAGACCGTGGAGCCGCGGGCACCCAGAGAGCCACCTGTTTATGGGACTCCGGGCAGCGGGCCAACCCGGGGGCAGGCTGCACTCAGGGCTCGGGGCTATGTCCAAGGGGAGGGAGCCGGGAGCCAGAGACAGTGGTCTGCCCTGCGCCCTGCCAAACTGAGTTGGAACTCTCCTGAACTCGAGAGAGAACTCTCCCTTAGAGAGGGAAGACCTGTCCATCCAGCTTATTTATGTGTCCCCACATCCGGCTTTGTTCTGTGGAGGGAGCATGAAAGGCTGGCGGCCGGGCAGGAGTGCCAATCAGGACCTAGCACAGGAAATTGGAAATTGGAAACCAGGGTCTACCCCCACTCTGCCTCCACTTGCTTAAACAAACCAACACCCGCCTGACCTTTGCCCCCTCCATCTGTGGCTGGCCGGCTCCAAGCCCACACTCACGCCAGCCCCAGCTGAGGCCTCAGAGAGGTCCGGCAGTTGGCCAGCCTGCAGGAGGATAGAATCCTTCAGGTCCAAACCAGGGCTGTGGGGGCGGCCATGATGTTTTTTTTTTTATCTTCAACAAAGTGAATTCTTAAGTTTTTTTTTTTTTTTACTCTTTAAATTTTCACCCTTTATATTCATCAACGCAGAGAGATGGAACATTTGGCAAAATTATTTTAAGGAGCACTTCAACCTGTGATCGTAATTTCAAATCGAGGAATTTGCTGAGCAGCTGTGGGGAGAACAAAGGGCCTGGGAGTGATTTAGGGCTCGGATGGGGGGTGGGAGGGGAGGCTGCTGGCGGCACAGAGGCAGCCGGGGAGGCAGGTACACCCAGGGGGAGCTGGCGGTCTGCAGCCCTGTGACACGGGAGTCTCCATCTGCCGAACACACCACATGTGGCGCTTCACACGTGTACATGGGGAGAGGAGAAATTCTGTTTAAGCCGACAGCTGAGACTTCAGCTCAGGAGGGGGGCAGACCTGGCCTTGACCTGGCTCAGCCACGCCCCAGCCTCAGTGAGTCATCTGTAAAATGGGGACAATCATATCAACGACAGAGTAATCCTTCAAAATGCTGTTATTGTCGACAACATGCGGAGATGAAGAATTTACGTGTTTTGTCTCTGCAACGAATTCAGTCAACAAACACCCATTAAATGTGTGTTACGTTCCGGGTGCAGGGCTGGGGGAGACAGGGGCAGACACGTGTAAAGCATGGGCACTGAGATGCTCTTAAATTAGTAAAAATACTTCTATTAAGTTAAAAGATAAAAATCACTTCCAAGAATAGTTAACTAATTTACAAAGAGCCTCTCTAACAGATGGTCTGCTAGAGACAATTTCAAAACAGTGCAGAGTTAAAGACGAAGCTGTCTTATATCTAATTGTTTCTGAACTCACTGCTTTTCAATACAACTATTATATAAATAGATTTAATTTCTCAAAATAAGTTCTGCTTCACACCTGAGGACGTTAGTTAGCTAATTTGCAGAGAGTCAGGCCTATGTGCCGACAACCTGGTTTGCTGACGTGTCCTCCAGATTCCGACACACGGGTACTCAGGGGGACTACCCAGTTCTGTCCAACTGCACTTGTGAGAATTAGAAGTTGGGTAGTCCAACTTTGTCTGTGGAAGAGAATGTTGATAGGTAATAGCTGAGCGTATTCTCAAACTCTGCTAGCACTGGAGAGCTTGTTACTTTATTTAAGAAAATGATTTCTTATCCTCATCCGAGGACATACTTACTGACTTTAGAGAGAACAGAAGGGAGGGAATGAGAGAGAGAGAGAGACATCGATATGGATGGGTTGTGCATATGTCCCTACGGGGGACCAAACCCACGACGTAGATGTGTCCCCTGACTGGGAATCAAACCCGCAACCTTTTGGTGTACAACCCAGTGCTCCAGCCAACTGAGCCACACCAGCCAGGGCGAGAGCTCACCACTTTAAGAGGTAGGGTTATGCCAGGTGAAGCGGCTCTGAATGTTCCAGATGGAATTATGAGAGAGAGATTAATGTCAGGGAATTTGAAATTAATCAGAGCTTGTGGGAAGGTCTGAAGGCGTTTTTGGGGGCTTCCTTCCCCCTTGCTCTCCGCCGCTGTCTTGGGCTTGCTCTGGCTGCCTGTCCACCTTTCCCCTTTCACACCGAGCCACTGCCTGCTTCCTGCCTCCGGGGAGCCACAGAGGGTTTGATCACTGTTGGGCGGCCAAGTGCACTGTGCCTCAGGGGTCAAGAGCCAGCGTTCAGCGCCTTGCTCCTTGCCCTGTTCTCTGGGGTGACTCAACAAAGCTCTGCTTTCTTGGAAAACAACAGTGAACTTTGTTCAGCCGAAGCCCTATTTCCCAAACTCTGATATTGGCTCACTGGCCCTCCTCCCTCCAGCTGTCCCCAACTGCTGACCACTTCTTTGGTGCTGCTGGCAGCTTCCGTGTTTCCCGCCTTTCTTGGCAGGCACCCCGGGCCGAGGCAGATGGGACGCAGGCGCAGTCGCCGGTGGCCTGGGCTTTGGTCTGAAGCCACGGCCGGAGCGTTGGGAGGCCGTGTGCGTGTGCCTGCTTCCCGAACCTGTGGGCTCAGAGAGGAATGAGCAGAGGAGCTCATTCCTCCCGTTGCTTTATGTCTTCACATTTCGGGTTGCCTGGAGAACTGTTAGAACTAAAAAGAAAAAAGCAAGTTGAGAGCAACTAAAGTAAAAACAGAAAAGTGATATAAGGGAAAGGTTTATTTTTGGAGCTCTTGAATTCTGAAAGCCCTGACTCTGCCACTTCTGCTAACTCGGCTGTCCGCTGGGCTCTAGGGCACTGCTCTCTCCCTTGCCCTCGGTCCAGGGGGCCTACTGACTTTCTGAATAGTGCAGTGGGCCCTCTCAGTGAGGCCCCCCTGGATTTCCTGCCCCTCTAGTTCTCCCGCCTTGCAGCCTTCTTATGTCGGCAGTTCCACACCAGATGCTGAGTGGCTCACCCACAGGCCTCAGGCCCCAGGGGCCTCATCCGGAGCAGCAGTGGCTTTTGTTCGGCCGAATGATATTTAAAATAATTTGATTTAGTTACGAACATTTAAGAAACAGGAGACTACAGGAAAAGCCAGATAGTCAGCTCATCCTGAAAAGTAGGAGAGCTGGCCGGACTGGGCCTTGGCTCACTCCGGGCCTGAGAGGCAGCCGCCCTGACACGTGGCATGTGCTGTCCACAGGCCACCGTCTCCGCAACACCCGTGACTGTCTTCCTGGACACGGGCACCGAGTACCAGATGCTGCTGATGGTGGGCTTCTCTCCCTGCCGCCCCCCAGCCTGGCTCACGCTTGCAGAGCCTTCCGATTCTTCTGGGCATTTGAGTTTGCTTGTCCCCGCTTAGGGGAGTTTTTCCAGAAATCCTGTTCCTTGTCTCTGATGGACTGCTAGCCTTCTTCCTTCCTTCCTTCCTTCCTTCCTTCCTTCCTTCCTTCCTTCCTTCCTTCCTTCCTTCCTTCCTTCCTTCCTTCCTTCCTTCCTTCCTTCCTTCCTTCCTTCTCTCCCTCCTCTTCTCCTCCCCTCCCTCCTCCTTCTCTCTTTCATCACTTTTAAAACTACAAAATAAAGCGTACCATGGAAAAGTGCTCACAGCAAAGGCCTGTAGCTCGATGGATTATTGCAAAGCCAACAGGAGTGCTCTTACCAGCCAGGCCT